AGCTCTTGATCTTTGGTTAAAACATTGATAGAAGATTCAGAACTTTCATTGATGTCATCAAATTGTAAGGCCTGAAGATTCTCATCATCATCAGAAGAAGAAGAATCCTCATGAGAAGAGTAGTGTTGGAGAAAAAGATTATTGATTTTGTCATGAATCTCTTCATCAAGATTAAGCTCATTGAGCTTCTTTTTTATACGACAATATTTGAAAATATGACCTGTTTTCCACAACGGAAACAAGTAATGTTTTTATTTTCATTGTTAGATCGTGGTCCCTTATCTGGGCGGGGATTCCTAGAGAAATGAGATTTTTGATTCGTGGTTTTAAAAGATCGGTAGGGACGATCGCGATGTTTTTTATGAGGTTTGGTGCTACAATCCACACAGTTAGATTTGGAAGAAATTTTTGAGTAAGATTCATCAAACTGAGCACAACAAGATCCTAGTTCTTTTCGAGTTAGTTTTTGTTCGCGTTTGATTTGTTTTTGAAGTTTTAAATCATGGCATATTTGTAATCCTTCCTTTTGTATAAAGCTAATAAGTTCTCCGTAAGTAAGTTGCTCATAAGGAATTTGACCATTAAAAGTGTCTTGGATTTTGTTTCGGATTTTATCTCCTAAGAGTCGGGGTAAACCGGCTAAAAACTTTTCTTTCCAAAATGGTTTATTTCCATCTTCTCTTTGCATAACCCTAGTTAAAAAGGTATCTTTGTACCATCGGAAGTCATGACACTTTTTACAACGAATATTAGAAAGTAGTTCGGCATTTTTATCTTTAAGATGTGAAGGATCTCCAATAAAATGTTTTGAAATGGCAAAAATCAGAGATGCAACTGCATCTTGAGAAGATTGATTAGTGGAGTCTATAATAGGAGTTCCAGAAGAATCACATTTGACAGTTGTAAAAATAGTTCTCTGGTCTTCTGCGGTTAAGATATTATCCCACCAACCCTTTAATTGACCAACAAAGCCGGCTATAAGTAGTTCAGCTATAGCGTAATTAGAAGGTTGATTTTGTGTTTTGTAAGCATTAGCTACCATGGTCATTTGTTGAAGAAGGTTCAAAATTTGATATTCTGAAAATCCATCAAGATTCCATTCATAAATAGAATTGGAGTTGTATTTATTTTGGATAATGGTGGGTTTCTCTTTGAGAGCTAAACCAGGTGTTGTGGGACGTGGGTAATACATCTTAGATGCAGAGGGTTGGTTCCATCGGAGACGATTGATTTCTGTTTCAATATGACCTTCTAGGTCTTGAGTTACTTTGGCTGAGTCATCGACGATTTGATCCTGGTTGCTCGTGGATTTTGAGTCAGAAATATAAGGAGTCTTAGAAATGGATAGTTGTGTAGAAAGTTGTTTAAGACATTTTTCTATTTCAAGCTTAAATTCAAGACTAGATTCTTTAGAAACTTCAAAAGGTTTGAAAATGGGGGAATTAAGTTTGTTGGAAGGAGGAATAGGAGTATTTGAAGTAGACGCAAAAGACAGATGTAAACTGATTTCAACATTAGTAAGTTGATCTCCTAAGGTCTGAAGAAATCGGTTTGTATAATTGTTTTGTTCAATCAGACGTCGAATATCTTCTCCTTTGACATGGTCACTATTTTCTCGTTTTAATTTAAAAGGAGAGGCTTGAACTGCTGTTCCATAATAAGAAAAATTAACAGGAACATTAGGGGGGTGAATAGATTGGATCTTAGAGTTATTAGTAGTTAACCAAGTCATAGGCTTGGTTTGAACATTTATCGAAGATTGAGAAAAGACTTGTTCGAACCAATTAAAGAAAGAATGGTGTTCTCGTATATTATTGAGATAATCATAGAAAGAGTTTTGTATAAGTACACGTTCTTCTTTAGAGTAATAAGTAAAAAATTGCTCGCTTTTAAAACGGTTTCGTTGGGAAGAGAAATCATGGCGAAGAAATTCTTTGTTGACTTTGAACTCTTGTGTAATGACATCAAGAGCAGAAGGGATTTCTTCTTCAGGAAATGCAGCTTGTGAGGCAGTAGGAGACATATTTGGTGTTCTCGAGGTATTTATATTTGGAAAAAGAGTTATGGGAGGTGGTGGAGTATAAACTGGTTGAGGTATGTCATTGGAGTTGTTGATTCCTCGTAGATCATAGTTGAGTGTAGAGGAGGTATGTCGAGTGGGTGTAGGTATGGGAGAAAGATTTCTACAAGATTGGCTTCTAAGAAAAGTATTGATGCGCTGTCGAGCATCGTCTGTCAATTCAGGGTCTATATCAGAAATGCAAGAGATGGAGTTCCTAGCAAAAGAGATGTTAACAGTACCATCAAGATGTTGAGTAATTTGATTAACCTGACGATGGTCGATGCTTCTGGGAATGGTAGCTCCTTCAAGGGTCCATTCTGTAGGAAGAGTAACTTCTCCCCATTTGATAGTTTTGGGAGTAACAGTGTTAGTAAGAGTTAAATCAGTTTGCCAAAGTATAGTTTCTCCTTTTGTACCATATTGAAGAGCTTTAGAAGAGAAAGCAGATTTCACAGCTTTATAGTGTAAGCGGTAAACCAAAGAGATAGGTAAAGATCCTTGTTGGATTTTATAGTTGAAAGTTTTTATTTGTAGGGTTAAAACATCTAACATATTTTTGTCATGAAGAGAGACAGTAAAGTTTGGAAAACAATTGAAGTAAATTGGGCCATTACAAAGACTTGATTCAACAGTTCCAAGTAAAGAGTCGTTAAACTCAAGAAACCGACAATCTCGTAAAACCATTAAAATAGCAGTATTAAGGCCTTCTTTGGAAAGAGGCTTAATCCTTACTTGAACTAACCCAATATGGATATAGTTGTACTTCTTTTTGTGTTGTTGAATAGAATTTTGAGACAAAAGTTTGATAGTTTCATAATCATTGAAAAGATGAATATCTCTTTCTTCGATTTTGATGGTATAATCCATTTTTTTGAGGAAGTTAAATTTGCTTTGCTCATAAATTTCCTTTTGGGCAATCCTAGGAATTTGTAATTTATTGAGATTTAGGGTGTCAAAATTATTCATACATGTTGACATTTATGTTTTAAGGAAAAAGAAAATTATTTTCTCGGTTATTTGTTCAATTGTTTTGTGTGATTGACTAAACAAATTGTTCATTTTTGTTCAATGTGGCATATATGGACTAGACCATACCGAACCAGCCTCAGATGTGTGTTCTGGTTTGGACCGTATAGTATGTGGTATGATCTCGAGTCTATACTCCAATCTCTCGGTCCAAAACGTAGACCGTATCTATGGACCACACAACACCGCTTCCCAATAATATTCTTACCATAGTGGTAAGATCATGATAGGACTGTAATAAGATGACAACAAACACATGTTTTTTAAGGGATAATTTACCGTTGCTCAAAACATAACAAAATGGATATCATTACACAAATCATAATTAATTAGTTATGTCTATATAATTTTTTAAACTTTGAGTTAAAATGAATGAGTTATGATATCATATCATTGTCATATCACGATGATATGATAGTGATGAAACTACAACTAGCACGTGTATATCATAATTAACGCATTTTTCTATAAATATTTTTAAAATTTTAAGTTAAAATGAAGAAGATATGACTCTATTAATAAAAAATAATATTTAGAAAAAATAGCATTTGACTGATAAAGTCTCTCCTCTCAGCTCTAAATTTCATGCGAGTAAAAAATACAAAATGTTGTAGAGTTACCAGTCCACCCCTCCTTATCTTTGTATGTATTAGGGGTCGTTGGATCAAATTTTATTGAATGGCTCCATATTAAGGTTTTGTAGGATTTTATTGGATAAGATCATCTACCCTATCTTTTCCCATTTAAAATTAGTGAATGTCAAGTTATTTTTTAAAATTTTATTATTGATGTTGTAGTGTTATTCGGTACTCGAAAATCGAGATTGGAATAAGTATATATCAACTTCAACATATTGAGAAATACCGAAATTTACAATTAAATATACATAGCTCACAACCCAAGCCCATAACCTCTCATACTTCCTCACTTTTCCACAACTAGCAAACCTATGCAACCCAAGCTTGGCTTTCCAATTTTTCCTATATCACTTTTGTCTCTCACTCATTCTTTTCTTACTTTCAGAACACCAAAAAATGGACGCTCTCACAAATCGTTACTTATCCTCAAATTCATCCAATAAAAGACTAACTAGAAAAGAAATTGAGATATTACCATCTTCCCTCTTGTCCTTGTCACGACCTTAGTTCAGAGCAAATTCAAGGTTATTCTTCGCCTAGTTTCTCGTCCCCAAATGGGAACCTATGAATGAATTTGTTTTAATTGGAACTTAGATTGAATCCATCCAAAAGGGAATTTTATTATATTTTATTAGGCCTTTCTCACCTTCAACTTTCCATAAACGAAATTTTCAATCGTGAAATTAAATCCTAAAGGCTTACACGAGGGAAGAAATGAACCTTGTATCGGTCTATCGGGTGACAATGCTTTAATAATCTTGATTACAGGCTTGGCTATCGTAATCTCGGAATACACGAGAGTACTATATATGTTGTAGCTTTAGTACCGCAGACTTTTAGATTGATACTGTTGGGATAACAATTCCCAAGTTTCGAATGTCGCCACACTTCTTTTGGTGACGAGTTATGACTAGCGCTTCTTTTGGGGAGACGTAGTTATGTCCCAGGACAATTCCTTTTGCCACCATGAAGTGGCTATTTTTCCGGGTTAAAGCCAAGTGAGTTTCCTTACAATGAATTAAGACTTTTTCTAGGTTTTGTATGCACTCAGAAAACTATTTACCACAGACAAATAAATCTTCCGTGAATATGAATTAGGACTTTTTCTATGTTTTATATGCACTCAGAAAACTATTTACCACAGACAGATAAATCTTCCATGAATAACTCATACATGTATAAAATGTGACTGTCACATTGCACAAACCAAATCAAATTCGTCATTCCTTGTTGAATCATTAAGCCCTCATCATCCGGTGACTATACAAGTTGGGATAAGATACCCTTGTTTGTTTGTATGCAGCGGGCTCACCTAGGGAATGTCTGATATGGGATAGATAGTTATGGCGTCAACCAATTTCACGACTTCCTTCGTGCTACTTATTTCATAAACCGCGCAAATTATAGCATATTGTCATTCTTCCTAAATTTAGAGTAGAACGAGAGAATCTACCAAGGCGCGGGAGGGTTAACTATCTCATAACCAAGAACCCCAAGAAGCAAAATTACAATTAGGTTGCTCATCACAAGCCCAAGAATGATGATACACAAAACTGGAACCCAAACCCCAATTGAGGAAAACAACACCTGGCATTCCTACCCTTATGCAACTACACTTCTCTCTTCTCTTCCTAAAGAATTCCTAAAACATGTTGCGTTTTGCAAAGGCCCCTAGGCCTTCTTTTCTTTTGACTGGGTGTAATACCACACCACTCGGAATGCCCAAAAAAAAAAAACATTACAGAACCAAGCAAAAACTCACTAACAATTGTTACGTAAGCCCCCAGCAAGTCTCAACCTCAACTGCTTCCATTCGACGAAGTCCCCGTCGTCGTTGTTGAAGTCTGCTTGGCCACATAAATCTGCTTCATCTTCGAAGGATAGCTCTTCTCCGTGCCAAGAGATTGATTACTCCTTCCTTGGTATCCCATTCTTCGCTGATGAGACCATTCTCCCCCAGAGCTACTCTTCTGCGAAACTCCACCGCCCCTCTGATAGTTGTTATACCCAGATGAGCCACCCCCATACGACGTATTCTTCTGATGAGGCTGCTGGGGCTTGAAGTTTGGCCCAACAGTGCTGTTGTTATTCTTAACACCATCCGTCTTCCCACCATCTGACGAGATCTTGGTCACGGTGGCCTGCGTTGAAGAATTGCCAGCACTTGTCCCGCGTACTTCTGGCAGCCGTGTGGTTGTTGCAGAATCAGTCAAGTTCCTGCCGTTATCTGAGGCTGGCTGCTGCTGCTGTTGCTGGTGTGATTCAGTGAATCTGTTGCTGGCCAGTGATTGGTCGACTGCAGGTCCACGGGAAAACTGAGGGGGAAGCACAGCTTCTGTCTGGGAATGCTGCAATGGTGCCGATACTGTAGCAGATTGAAGCGTTGATGATGGAGCATGCGACCAACGAGCCTGGCCTGGCATATCAGGTGATGACTGACAAAAAAAAAACAATTCAGTGTGCCAGAAAGCTAGAACAGACTATTCAACTATATTCCTTAACTCATGGCAAACAGCCAGTTAACCACAGTGACATCACCATGGAAAAAAGCAAATGGGGGAGAGATGGAAGCAGCCATTAATTCTGCAGTTCAATGGCTTTGGTGCAGGAAATATAAATTCTACCTGGAAAGGGGATACGTCAAACAAGGCCAATGGGGAACCCATGGGCATGAGAGGGGAGCCAGGGGCAAGATGCTGGATGGGAGGAAGCATATTGTTGCTGGCATTCCGCTGGGCTGAAATAGCAGCATTCAAGTTAATCATGTCTACTGCTTCACCGACTCCCATTGGAGAAGAAGCTGGATTATGCTTCCAATCAGGTTGTTTCCCAGATGGAATATAAGTAGTCCCCATGAAACTCAACCCGACTTGCCCAAACTGCCCAACTGGAGCAAAGTGATTGTAGACAACCATGTGTGGTGCACCCTGAACACCCGGAATGCTCCCCGGGGGAGGAGTTATGAACGGGCCAGAGAATCCTGGATGTGGGCCATAGAATGAATCCACACCAGAGTGATGTTGCCATGTCCCTACTGGACCAGAAACTGACCCATTAATACTCTTCTGGGACTGCTGCGACTGAGTTGCAGATTCGTCATGTGGACCGAATGCAAAGATGGGCCCACCCAACATGGGATGATTCATCTCATAGAACGGGAAATGATGGGGGCCACCAGGAACATGAGAAAGTAACTGACTTGAAGAAGAATTGTGAGGGCTGGGTAGTGTTGGCCAAAATGATATTGGAGGGTTTTCAACAGATAGATCTGCAGGAAGAGCCACACTAAGAGAATCCTCAGCTCTAGAATGACTTGTGGATGGCTGATCACTAGGTACACCTGCCAACAAACAATGAAAAGGAACAAAAATAAAAACCAGTGCAAATTGCAGGCATTAAGCATCATGAATATAGGAAACATTCTACTAGCTGCAGTCATTACCATTGAGATCAACTCCACCATAAACCTTAGAGTCCGTGGCAGATACAGGTCCAGACCCTAACCTACTCCCATCGGTCTCATCATTGCTTATGGCTGCAACTGCAACAGCTGAGGCAGCTGCCTCTGCTTCTGCTTCAGCTTTGCCCTCATCCAAATGAGCACCGGCTTTGCTAGAAGAAAGTTTTTCTTTTTCAAAGAACAGAGAGCGGTCAATTTCTCCTGCAGACAGGTTGTGAGAAAGCTGGATGTCCGATCGAGATGGCACAGGAGGAAGAATAGCACGGCTGCTTGGATGTAGAATTGTAGGGGATGTAACTGCACCTGTACAACCAAGGAAAATAATTAAATCTTCAAACATTAGTTCACTAGACTTAGCTTTGCTGTCGCTAAGGGAGTGGGAGCCCAGATTGTATCTAGGCTGCCCACTAATTTCCTGTAGACCTTTGTTTTCCCACAATTTGTCAATGTAATATAAGTCATAAGTCCATAAATAAATTGTTTATTTATAAGTCAATAACTAGTTTTCGTCCTCAGCAGCACACACTTATTAAGGATAGAACAACTATTCAGCTTAGAAAAACAAAAAAACATATATCTAAAAGTCGCCTCAAAAATGAAAATCCATTTCCAACTTTCCCCACCCACATACCAAACCGCTTCCTTAGTTTACTACATCATAAAAATTTACAAAATTTTAGCAAAAGTGGAAACATAACGGACCCAATATTAAGAACACCATAGGAAAGTAGAAAGTTTATGTGAAGGGCAAAGCTCACCAAATTGAATTTTCTCCCCAGCGAGCAACGAGTTGATGGGGCTAGCAGCAGAAGAAGAGAATGGTTTTTCTTTGCTCAAGATTGATGATGATGGTAAGCTGGGCTCATCCATTGCACTAGAAGGATCTCCAACAGAAGGAGCAGAATCAAACTGTCCAGGCTGCATAGCCTCATCAAGTTGAGTTTGAGTCAAAGCCATAACCTGCAAGGCACAGTAACTTAGCACCTAACTCTTGGACATATATCCAACAAATAAGAGATAAGAATTAACAACGAATGGAGCATGGTTATATCACTGATACAAAGAGAAAAACCAAAACAACCATGTGTTCTCTAATGTAAATAAAATGATGAAATCACAAGCTTATTGCTGTAACGGACCACTAAAAAAACAATTCACATGCCTGCTGATTAAGTTGTGGATTGCCCCAAGAACCCAAAGATGCCTGTCCATTATCTAGAACCTTGTCATTTCCATCAAACATTGAGCCAGAGACTAGTTTCTTTCCATTGTCTGGCACAAGAAGTACAGAGCTCGACTGAGTGGGCCTACACCAAAAACATATGTTAGATATACATGTCCAACTATTCTTTCTCGACTCTCGAAATTTCTTTACGCAATACTTCATTGTAAGGATATTTTTTTAAAGAGAACAAGCTAAAGACACGTACTTGATTTTCTGAGCCCTAACATCTGCCGGTGCCGGAGCATCAGTTTTTAGTGAAGGAGTACCAATTGGAGGTAATTGCTGAGCCACCACAGGGGCAGTGAACCCTACTGAAATTTCAACATCTGTCAGTACATTTCCTTGCCTGAGAGCACCTGAACGTATTACGTTTGATGTTTCTCCAGCGACAGTAACTTTGTTTGAGGAGGCAAGGCAGAAACTATTGCGTGAAGTAGAACGATCTTTCCTTTGAATCTGAACATGAGCGGCCGAAACAAAAATATTTTAAGACACAATAAATCAATCATAAAAGAAAGTCAAAAAGGATATCACAGAATAATACCTTGGAAACACGAGCTTTGGCCTTAATTTCCTTCTCTCTCTGCTCACGGCGATCATTCAACATTTGCCTTTTTGACCTCACCTCAATGAAGTCATCATCATCACTTGGAGCTTCTATGCCAGGTTGCTCAAAAACACGGACTACTCCACTCTGCAAAGAAGAATCAACATCTTCTCCAGAATGCAAAATGTTCTGACTCTTTCTTAGAGGCTCTTTTCCACTGGCAGCCTTCCCAGCCCTGTTTCCAGGATCTACTTCTCGTGTGCTAACAACAGGCCGAGAAGTGAAGCCTTCTGAATCACCTGATTGTTTTGGTTGTCTATTTGAGATAAACACCCTCCTGGAACCACCTCTTGCTCCACCTCCCCTACCAATGATGTTAGACCTGTCATCTTGCATTGAAACCACCCCAATAGATTGCTTTTTATCAAAACTTTCCCGAACTCGAAATTCAGTTCTCTGGCGACGAGGTCTTCTCTGGAAACCCACATTAGAGTCTATACGAGAGGCTTCAGGAGTTTGAAATGATGATCTTGGGCCAGAATTTTTCATTTGGAAGATGTATCTTTTTCCTCTCCCACTTGATGTACTAACCCCTGCACCCCTTGACATACTAGGATGATCTTTTTCTTTTGAAACTGACCGAGAGAACACAGTTCCAGTTCGTGGTAAACTTTTCACAAATGAATCTTCCAGTTGCAAAGATGGCTCGGGTCTCGGAAATATGTCAATTGATTGGGAAGGATCTCCACAGCTCTGCTGTACATTACCAACAATGTTACCCTTGTCTTTCGACAATATACCTTGTGACAAGTCTGATTGCCTCGGCGTGATGCCTGGTTGGTTATCCATTGATAAAGACATAGCCTCACTTTTAATAAAGCTCTGAGCTGAAACATCTTGACCAGGCTGTAGAGGTAAAGAACCTACCATGTTCTGATTCAAAGAAAAATTGGAAGGGACAGTTGGTTGAATGAAGGACATGGATTGTGGACCCAAAGGTAAAATCCCCTGTGAAATAGGAGATGTATACCTCAGTTGGCCAAACTGAAAGAGGGGAGCCTGTGATGGGTGCATATGACTCAGAGATGGACCAACTGGGGGATGCAGATGAAGAGGCATCTGAATGGAGCCAATTTGTATAGCTGGGACAGGTGATGGTATAAGAGAAGGACCTGAAAACAGACCAAACTGAAGCTTAACAGGCACCTCGGGCTGAGTTGAAGCAGGAGGAACAGAGGATGTAGAAGTCTGAGCTGCAGAGTAAAGGACCTGGGGCTGGGTAGATAAACCAGCGGTATTAGAAGGATCCAGCTGGTTAGCCAGCTCAGAAGCTGCTACGGACTGGGGAGAACTTGTCGATTGAATTGCTAAAACATGCAAACCCTTTTCAGTGTCCTGGAAGATTCTCGAAGAACACTCAGCATTACTATGAGAAGTACTATCCACCGGTTGAGTACTCTGTCCAGGACAGGAACCCAGGGCATCCGTACTTTCAACAGGAACCTGTGATACGAGAAACATAGCTTCATCATTTCCAGAGGTTCTTTCTAGCTCATCATCTGGCAACTTAACCTCAACCCCTTCATTGAAACCCAACACTAAGTTTTGAACCATGTCAGCGGAATCTTTCTCCTCCATATGCAAACTTTCAAACTCTTGAGTCAAGTTGATATTGTCCTCTTCACCGTCATGCACTTCGTCTTCCTCGCCATAACCATCTTCTTCATCATATTCTTCTTGCTCTTGTAGCTGGTGATCGTTGTCAATTGCCCATTCTTCATCATCTCCAGTGGACATGACGCTCGTGCCACTTATCGTGTTATCTTTCTCAACATCTGTAGGCAAGGCTGTAGATTCCTTCATATCTCTCAACAAGGCTTCATCTTTCCCTTTACTGGTGGATACAGGAGATCCAAGAGAATCATCCAACTCATCATGAGAGAGCTGAACTGGAGAATCAGGAGGGCTGGAAACGGACAGTGAAGACTGTGACTCACATATCTCTGCACTTCTCTCAAGTTTCTCAACCTCATTATCCCGTGTATCTTGCAGAGTACCAAATGCTTCAGCTCCACTGAGATTGTCTGTGTAACTGCTGTCATACCTTGGTTGCATGGTAACTTCATCTCGAGCACCTTGACTGTACTGTCTCTCACTTTCAACGAGAGAGGAAGCTCCGGAATGTTTATTCACCCCCCTGAAATCACTTCTCTGCATTGAACTAATAGACGGGGGTGGTAACACCCGAGGCTGCCTCATAGAGTACCTTGGCCTAGCAAACGGATAAAGGCCATCCGACTCCGGGCTTTGGTAAACTCGCTCATGGTATGGCGGATAAAAATTACCACGAGGTCGACCATATCCCCAGCCCTCATCACCAAATCTCTCCGCAAAGTTCTCACTGAAATCAGGTGCAGTCTCTAAGTTTCTGCTATAACGATCTCCTTCACCAGATGTATTCCATCTTGGACCTTTAAATTGACCGAAATCATCAGTTGGGGGATCAAGGATCCCTCCCTTAGGGTAAGCACTTGAGGGCAGTAAACCAGGTCCACCATAAAATTCCCTTTTAGGAAAGCCTCTGCCTCCAGAAATATCTTGCCTAGGACTATGATGATTTCCATGGTCCTGTGGTATGAAGGCTGAGGTGTTACCATTGTCGAATGGATCTCTCTTCCACGGATTCATAGCCTTCCCTCGGTCCATAAATACCGAAGAGCTTTCTCTAGAAAAGTAAGGCCTTGAACCCAAGTCAAATGGCCTATTCATGCCAGGCAAATCAGAAGAAGCTGATGTAGTGATCCTGTCCACCATTCTTTCACCTTCTTCCCAGTCACTCATATCTCCCAACTTGGAAGCACTTGTTTCCTCCGCCGTCTCCATTGTGCTTTCATCAACACCACCCGAAGAACAATTATTCACACCTTCTGCCCCCTCAGCATTCCTCCTAGCCATCCTTTCCTCCAATTCCAGAAGCTTCTGCTTCGCAGCCTGTCTCCTCCTCTCCTCCTCCAGAAGAAACCTTCGCTTATCCTCCTCTCTGGCTATCCTTAGTTCTTCTGCCCTTCGAATGGCTTCCAACCGCTCATGTTCCACCCTCCATGCAGCTTCTCTTGCTTCTTCTTCCAATCGCTTCTGTTGTTCTTCTTGTGCTCTGGCTATCCGCATCCTTTCCTCTTCTTCTCTACGAGCTAGCTCCATAGTCCTTTCCTGTTCTTCAATTATCCGCTGACGCTCCTGTTCCTGCATCTTCTGAACCCTCTCAAGTTCAGCCTCAAAAGAATCTCGAACAGGATCATGAAAATCAGTCTGTTTAACGACATCCTTCTTCTTCTTTACAAGCCCTACAAGAGCGCCAGAAAGTGGATCTCGTCCATCAAAACCCACCCCATAATCCTTCATGAAATGATCCTCTAGATAAGGCTTCTCACTTTTTGAGAACGACCGTTTCTCCCTTCCGAAATTCGGTATGGGATCATTAACGGAGATTCCTTTACCACCAGAAGAGAATGATGATTTCTGTGTGAAACTATTGTGGTGAGTGTCATCTCTGTATCGGTTATGATGCTCGTTTCCTGATCGGTCTCGATGCATCCATTCAGGCCCTCGACTACCAGCTGACTCAGATGAACTGCTCCAAGGCTGTCTCATTCCCTGCCCATATCCTACATCCTTCCTTCCCATATCAGCATAGGAATGTGACGACACATACTTGTTGTCCCTAGTAGTATCTCCGTTTAGAGTAGATATTTTACCACGAAAATTATTATTTTTATCATTGCCATGCTCCTGTCCAGTATATCCATCTTTAGAAAGAGATGAGGAAGATCTCCATGAGTTCCCTTCTCGTCCATCAATGCTCGAGGATCTCAGATTTCTGCTAGGAACATCTACCCTTACGACTTCACTGGACGAGATGGTTCCAGTTTCATTGTCACGTTGTATCCTCCGGTCAAAGTTATTAGTATGCAATGGTTTCTGGGGTAGGACACTAGGTCTTGGGAAATCGAAATCCCTATCCCAGTAAACTTCACCCCTAGGGAACCCATGATCCCTGCCCCTCTCTGACACTACATGCCCTATATCACGTTCATCATCTGCCCAATCTGACCTGGGATTCAGCCGAACTAATGGCAAGGGTCCAGGAAAGTAATCCTCCTGCCTACGGTCATTTCCTGAAATAACCGAACCACTCAAACCACGATTTGAACCATTACTTTCTCCAACCCCACTGCCAGCATTACTTCCAGACTGAAATTGTGGGCGCATGTCGACACGGCTGCTCATAACAGAACTGTCCACTTCTCGATGACCAGTTGCCTCACCCTGCATCTGTTTTTGTTTCTGACTAAAGCCATCCTTCTGCTTCTTTTCAAGACCTGTATTGACAGGCAATGCTGCTTGTAAGGAAGGGAAATCCTCACCTCTCAACATTGTCACTTTTTCAGCTACAGGATAACCTTGAGTAGGAGCAGATGCTGCTGAAACCCTCGGGGGTGCAGAAGGCGGCGTGTATACACGGGCCTTGCTAAACCCATTAACTGCCTCACTTGATCCTTGATCAATAACAAGGTTCTGTCCTGCATTATTATGAGCTGAACCATCGCCTCCACCAGCACCCAACCCTTCTTTCTCTTGCTGGCTAGCTGCAGGCTTGGTCCAACCAATGCCAGAAGAACTAGGCCGGGGACCATTTCCAGAGCCAGTGCCAGCATGCCCTCCAACCACCCCTACAGAATCAAACTTCTCATGTTCCTTTCTGAGTGAGGGTAGATTCAAGGGGGGTGGAACAGAAAGCTTCGGCCCAGCAGTCTTTTGTGAGCTACGAGGGCGTGAAAGCACAACCATCCCTCCTCCTCCGCCACCCCCAGGCCTAGCCCGATTGGCCCCGTAAGAAGAGCCCGAATGATACTGGGTACTGTGGTGGTACTGTTGTTGATGGCCATAAGACTTGTTCAGATTTACAGACACAAACTTGGAAGTCCCGACTCCGGGATTGGCCATCTCAGGGTCCGACCCAGACTATTCAGCAGTACGGCGGATTCAGATCGCCGCCCACGCATCAAATAACAAACCACCACTAACCTAAAACAAATATACCCCAACAACAGAAGAAAATACTGTTCCTTACTTCCCTCTGTTATAGCTCTACAGATCAAACTGCTAAATCCCGAGTAGGACCTCCTTCTAGCCCTGATCAAATGACCCACAAACAAAAAAAGGAACCACATTAACAAACGAAAGGAAATGCACAATCTGAACGCAACACTTATCGCTCGAACACTAATACAAAACGAATCGGGTTTCAAATTAGGGTTTGGCGGAGAAGCGAAAATCTAGCCTTGGAAGGAATGATCAGGAATGGGGGAGGGGGAGGGAGGTGTACGATAAAGGAAGAGCGCATACCTCCGGGAGCGTGTGATACAGACAGCGATACAGATGATTAAGGTGCGACGCGGAGAGAGGAGTACGAGAAAGAGGAAGGGCGTCGGATAGAAGAACTGAAGAAGCCTACTGTCCCCCAAACAAAAAAAAAATTACCAGAGACAGAGAGAGAAGCCAACAGATGAGAAACGTCACGAGACGAAAACGAGGCCTCTTTCTGTTTTTTTTTTTTTTCCCTCTTCTTTTTATTTATTTTAATTTTTTATTTGATTTGTTGAGCTCTGTCTTTCAGTTGCTTATTTTCTCTTTTATCCATGGTCCATGAAACCGTACCGGAGACCGTATCGGGAAAGTTAGCGGTAGGGTATTTTATGGTAAAACCGTGGTTTAACCATAGTTCAACCGTTATACCGGTAAATGTCGCATATCGATTTAGCCTTCGATACTGGTATTTCGTGGTTGAACCGTCGGTACGGTACGGTTTAATGGACACTGCTTTTATCAAGCTTGTCAAACCGGTTCGAATTTAGCAAGTGGAATTGGTCAATCGTAATACAATCGGTTTGTACCGATTCATGTCGATTTAACAAAAATATATAAAAATGTGAAAAATCATTAACATCAAATAAACTTAAGGATATATAAAACATATTTGAAAATAATTTATTTACCATCTATATCATATTTAAATAAAATACAACATTCCAAACAACAGTTATACTAGATACAACTAGAGGCATATTCCATCCGGTTTCATGATCGACACTGGTTGTACTAGATTCAACTGGAGGCATTCCACCAACGTGACAACCATGCTCTTTAGTCTTTAGCTTTTAATAGGGGCGGGCATGTGGGTGGTTCGCAGTTTGATATCAATCCACCCATAAATAACTCAAATCGTAGTCGGTGGGTGACTAAAGTTGGTGGATTTCGGATTGAAGAGTTATCATATTTTTACATGACAAAAAATTATTTTTTGTTTATAAAACTGAAGAGTTATCATATTTTCTAATTGCACTACACACTGACCATCGACTTCTAAAGTTTAATAATAAATAATATTTTTGGACTACTATTATTGGTTACTTTATTGTTAATCTCCACTATAAACTATTTATTGTATCAAAATTGCAAAATGTGTCGGTTGTCTATACAATTAGTTGAAGGAGTAGTGAAATTTTGATGCAAATACTACACTGATCCATATGAGACAAAGTAGCAAGGGTATAAATTGATACAATCTTAGTAATTTGCAAGAAATTTATTATATATGTTAGTCAACTTTTCTAATGGGTAGTTGAAAATTGCTTTTGTGGGTTAACCATCCACAACCGAACCGCACCTATCTGCCACCCAACCAACCAAACCCGAAGAAGAATGTGGGAAGGATAGCAAGTCACAATTATACTAACTTGCCAGTAAGCGTGTGAATCAATTTGACACCAAAATTCACCAAATCCGCCCATTATCCACCTCTAGCTTTGGCCTTTGGGGACATGATAGTGTGAGAACTGAGAACAAGGGACATGATAGTGCGAGACCAAAATTCCGTTGAAACCAAACCGACCTACTTGTAATATCCAGTAATATACAATTTTATGGGTGGGGTATGAATTTTAATTTTTGAAAATCAAAGCATTATGGTTAAGGTTGGGTGTGGATGGTTACAACCGAGATTATCCGAACTGGTATGTGATACACTGATACTACATCATATATATAAAAATAATGTTTCGCCACCACAAATCTCTTGATTATTATTCATGTCATTTGTTTACATAGTTATAGTTGATAAACTGTGAGTGTTTCCTTTAACATGTATACTTTTTTCACATCCTCGCTTTATATATAATTTTTTAGTGTGTTAAAATGTATTAATAAGTAAATTTTATTACTTGCATTTTACTAGTATGAATGCAATATGTTACTTCAATATATTACTTGTTTTATAGTTTCATATAGTGTCTCATATATATTATTCTTTGTATTACATTGTTAAACAAATATATTTTGTTCTCATATAATGGATTGGATTTTTGTCTACCCGATTCAAACCGTAGGGTCTTGAAATTTATAGTTGGGTTTGGGTTCACAATCATTCAACCAATGATTCATTATTTGGGTAATTCAAAATGGTCAAAACCGACCCAATTAATCTATGTACAACTCTAGTTAGCACCATGCTAACATAATCATTAACGATATTATAGTAACTACCCACTTAGAGGAGCAGCTCCCTTCCCTCGCCTCCTCCTTTTCGTCCCATGTATTTGAGTTTCATATACAAATTACTTTTAGGTACCTAAACTTAATACATTTCCAGATTTAGTACCTACAATTAATTTTTTGCATATAATATTTATGAAAAATTACATTTGAGTACCTAAAAATTTTATGTCTTACATTTGGATACCTATTTTTTAATTTACAAATAGGTTCAAGTTCATGAGGTTTCTACTATGCTTCAAGAAACTTGTGGTATGTTTTATGATGTTTCTTGTTTGATTTAATAACCTAACGGTCTGCTTTGTGATGTTTCTTGTCTGCTTTAAGAAACTTGTGGTCTGATTTATGATGTTTCTGGTATGCTTCGAGAGACTTGTAGTCTACTTGATGAAATTTATGGTTCTGCTTTAAGAAACTTGTGGTATGATTCAATAAACTTATGATCTGCTTTGAGAAATGTGTGGTCAGCTTCAAGGAACTTGTGATCTTCTTTATGAGGTTTCTAATATGCTTCACGGAACTTGTGATATGCTTTGTGATATTTCTAGTCTGCTTTGAGAAATCGGTGGTCTGTTTTTTGAAGGCTTTGGTATGCTTTAATAAACTTGTGGCATGCTTTGAGGTTACCGGTATGCTTTATGAACTTTGTGGTGGTGATGTTCTGGTCCGCTGTATAAGCTTTTTGGTCTACATTATACTATTTGTGGTGTAGTTTGTTGTATTTTTAGTATGTGCTTTTGTGGTGTGTTTCATGATACTTGTGATTAATAAGTGTGTATAAGTATTTACATATAAAACAAGAATTGATTTTTTACAGTAGCAAGATACTCATACGTAACGTCCCTTCAAAATGAGGAGTTCGATCCCTTGGATAAGTATAAATAGGGATTTATTATTTTTACCAAAACTTAGGGTTAATTGCATCGATTGTCACTTAAGTTTACCAATTAATGCATGGTGACCACTTAAGTATGTGTTGTTGGAAGCAAACCATTTCTGTCTAATAAAAGTTGTAGTGTCACCATTTCTGTCATTAGAGCTTAACAGCAGGTACTCAAGGGTAATTTCCCATGTCGTGTATGCTTGCCATGCCAGCTATTGTACGTTGAGTTAGACCTAGCCCATTAGTATCTATGTTATGTTGAACTAGTATCCATATTGTTTTGATCGGTATTCAAGTTTAGATGAACTAGTATTCATGGTGGTATTCACATTGTGAAGAACACGTTTATGATGTTCTGGCCTAGTATTCTTGTTTGTGTGAACTAGTATCCCAGCTTTCATGAACTAGTATTCGATTGAAATGCTTGAACTAGTATCCACCTATCTTGAAGTAGTATCCAAGTTTTGTTGAACATGGTAGCTAAAGCTATCGTTGAAGCGTTGTCCTGGCAATCTATATGAGATGCAAGTCTGGTGCAAAACTCTTGCTGGAGATACTGTCAATGTGGCAAGTAACTTTCGTATGAGCACATCGTTGCTCTCTCCTCTTATGCTCAATAATGACAAGAGAACGGGTATCATCTAGTCTATGTCTAAATGTTGCGCCCCATCCTTGGTATTGGTCAAAGTCCGCCCAATCAAGCTCTCCTTTGAGGTCCGCCAATATGTATCTCCAATTTTTCACCTTCTTGGAACTAGAACTGTCGTGGGGAAATCAAAAGAAAGAATGTGTTGTTGCCTCTGGTGCCTCCTCTCTAATCTCTAGCTTGATATCAAACTCGATCACATCGGTCCCTTGTGACAACTGTCCACTTTTGCTCTTTGACCTCCCGCTATCAAGTGATAGACTTCCATTACTCGTATTGGAGGAGATTCAAATGAATCAGTATTGAGAATTCGAGTTCCTCAAATCCCCCTCTTCTTCTTCTTCTTCAAATTTTAATTGTCACGTCACACATTTAACGGTCAACTATGAGAGTTGACTGCCACATCCTCAAAAGTTAACAGAGTTGGACGGAGAGTGACCAAACTTGAACCATTGAATTAATTTTAGTGACCACGAATGGAATTAAATATTTGTAGTGACCAAACATGAACCTTTCTAATAATCCCAGTGACCAACCTTGCAATTTACCCATTTTAAAACTTTGAAGTTCAAGTTATACAATCAGGCAAAAGGTCAATTGATAAGTTGGCACAAGTAAAATGACATGGCATTTCATCCAGAAAATCATCTAAGCAATGAAATTTAGATAGAAAACTCTCAATGCCCTGTTCCCATTGAAAATTAACGAAATTTCAAAATTTATACCAAAGATTCAAAACTTAGCTTAGCTTGGCATCGAAAGCTTGTATTTGAAAGATGTTATGCTAAATTTTAAAATTCTGGCATGACCTTTCCTAAAATTCATCATCCATGCAAGCATAAATTTGTTAAAATTACTATAATCGCCATGAATCAATCTTCTAAATTCAAGCAATTTTAAACTTTAAATCCTCAATTGAAGTTCTAAATTCATGATTCAATCTCCTTAATTCATCTAAATATTATATGTATACTTACTTGGATTGAAGAAAGTACAGGAATTTGAAAAAAGGTTGAAGATTCTAGAGAGAGAAAGGGTGTCAGTGGCGCAACGGGCCTAGCTATTGTGGTGCTCCGGTGGGGTTTTGGAAATTTCTTTGGTAGGGCTTTGTTTGTTTCGTGATGGGTAGGTTGTATCTCAAATTTGAGGATCAAATTTTGAGTTTTGGAGGTGGATTTGGTGATTGAAAGCTGAAGAAGTTGGGAGAAAATTTGAAACTTAGAGAGAATAGAGAGGATTTTCGGGTAAGGAAAGAGGAAGGGATGTGCAAAGTGAAGTGTGGGGTGGAGACGTGGAGTGGTGGCCGAAAATGGCTCTTTTATAGGTCTTAGGGCAACGATCGTAGGGTGCCAGGTGTGACCACCGTTGCTTCCCTTTGTGTTCTTCATCTGTTTCCAACATTTTTTTTATTAGAACACT